TGGCGGCTGTCATTTACACTTGTTGCTGTTGTTGTTGTTGTTGTTGTTGTCCATAAGTACCCTACTTAGAAATCGAAGTCGATAGAACTACAGAGGCCTTACTTCTGAGCCTACTTACTAAGTCCCATGATCCTTTCAGTCCTTCCAAAGTCCCGTTATACTCAAAGTACCAACGGTGCAGCCAGGATGCGTGTCTGCGGCCGGTGTGCAGGCGACCTCGAATCTTGGCTGACTTCTGAACCCCTCCTACAAGTTAAACTTTTAGCCTACTTACTATGGTTCATATAAAAACCCCAAAAGTTAAAGTCCTAAGAGCCAACCAGAAGAACGCCAAGGTAATATAAACATTCGGGACTGATCACCAGGGGATGCTGTTACTAATGAATGTAGGGGGCCTTCATAATTAGAATCGGGTTTCGGAGTATAGTATACTCTCTCTATATATATATATATAATAGGGAACCCCCAAAATAGTGTAGGTAATTGTTTAAGCCTCTATATTACTCCGATCCCAGCAATACCTGCCTGCTTTTCGCAGAACGCCCACCGCGAGCTGCAGTCTTATGCTCTTCAGCCGCGGCGGTGCCTGGAAAGGGGCACTTAGAGGATCAGGGGACTTAGTAAGTAGGGTTATAAGTACCCTAAATAGGGTTATAAGTAGATATAACCATCGTTACCTTACTTATATCCCAACTTACTACGTCCCATGATCCTCCAAGCAGATCATAGCTATCCTTATACAAACCCTTCAGGGAAACCTACTAGTCTAACTGTTCAAACGCTGGGTTAATGTCGGATGCGCGTGGTGAATAGCCCAAAAGTCCAAAGTAATCATATACTACCCCAAATACTTGCTGATTGTGCCTTGGCTGACTTCTGTAACCCTCCTACCTTAACAGTTACACTTGTAGCCTACTGATTATAGTTCGTATCGAAACCCAAAAAGTTAAAGTCCTAAGAGCCAACCAGAAGAACGCTAATTACACAGTCCTTTTGGCCCTTAGATGAGCGTTTCAGGTTTAGGCTTCTTTGCTCCGCGAAAGCCAGTTGTGGGGCAGAGTTCAGGCACGGCTAGGGTTGAGGGTTTAGGGTTTAGGGTTTGGGTTTAGGGTTTAGGGTGTAGCGTTAGGGTGGGTGCAACTAAGGCCTTGAATCGCTTCAAAGCGATCGGAACATGCAAAACAAAACGCTAAACCTCGCAGCGAGAGAGACTTGTGCCCTAAGTCCCTAGGCCTTCAACCCTAGCTTCGACCCTGAAACTCCCTAAGGGCTCTTGTTCAAGTGCTCCGCGCAACCTGCAAAGAACACTCCCTAGAAGCTGTTAAGACCCATCGAAGCCTATGCCTGAACCACATGTAAAACCCCTAAATTTATAACCCTAAACCCGAAACCCTAAACCCCTAAATTTATGAAACACAAAAGAACCCAAAGCTAAAGGCAAAACCTCAACAACGGTATGCAAGGGACCCCTTCACACCCCTCCCACAAAACTGGCTTCGAATTAAATCCCCAATATAGGGGCCTAAATCACCTATACTATTTTTTGGCGGTTCCCTCTTATAATGATAGTATAATGGGCCCTCTTCGAATTATTCAGGCCCCTATATTATACCCCTAAACCCTAAACCCTCAACCCAAGTAGCTTGGGATTCAGCCCCGGCCTGGCTCCTGCGTGCAAGCCTTCGAGGAAACGGCCGGCGCCTCCTTCAGGGCTTTGGGTTTAGGTTTTAGGGTTCAGGGGTTTAGGGTTTAGGGTTTAGGATTTAGGGTCTAGGGCTCTGAGGGTGACGGAACGGTACTACGTGGGTTATAGGAGTACTAGTGGGTTACTAGGAGGGTCATGGGCCTTGGTAAGTCAGGTTAAAGGTGCGTTAACTAGGGTTGTGATTTTAAGCATTCCGACAGAAACCTGCAAACCTCTCATATGAACGCTACCACTGGATCCGCTACAGGGTCTGTTGACACAAGGAGAAAAAACCTCTTTAGACTATTAAGGGCTCCTGTCAGGGTTTTACACGGCTTTTGTTAGGGTGTAACCGTCTTGTACAGTGTTTTGATTTAGGGACCATCGGCTCAACCCTAAGCTCTGTGTTCGTGAACTCGCAGATTGTGAGCGCTAGTAAAGATTGTGGGGAACAACCTTCCCACCAACATGTGTACCCCAGTATGTTTAGTACCCAGTGCATCTATGTATGTAACATACGTATGTATCCTAAACCGCAACGCCTAAACTCAACTTCCTGAATCCCAAACTCTAAACCCAAAGCCCCAAACTCTACAACGT